TACCCACATAGTTATGATTTTGGAGCATATTCATAATCTCATGGTCATTTCAAATAGCATTGTTGGAAATGATTTGCCCTACTTTCCATGTTTACTATTGCAGATTGTAGAGACAAATAACGAGAAAATTTCATAACGCTAGGTAATGTTTGATATACCTACATAGTTTCCTTCGAGCGCCCTTGTTATCTTATAACACAAGGTTTTATAGTATCGTCAGGACTGCTCTAGTTATAGTTAGTTAGTTTAAAATAAAAACTTTAGGCCTTCAAAATTTGTCAACATGTACTAAAATCCTGATCAATCACGAAGTTATTGTTTTTTTTTAAATAAAAATAAAATATTTATTTCTTAATTAACTATGTAATAAAATCTCAAAACACAAAATCCATGCGCTAAATAAATATAATATGTGCGTATGCGATTTAAAGCGGCTGCAATGTCTCGACACATTCTGGCAGAGCGACGCGCACGCGCCGGGAATCTGGCACCGATGGTCGCACACGGTTTATTTCCACTCGCATTCAAAATACAAATAATTAAATTTTTCAAATACCAAACATTTTTCTTATTTTACAACAATTCGTTTAAATATAAACTATAAAATAAAAAAAAATCTTTAAAAATGTTAATGTTATAGACCTGTATATTGTTTTAGACAAATATATAAAGAGAAATAATAAAATAAATTTTCTTTCTATTGATATCTAGGAGCTTCTAAGTTCTATCTAGCTCAACTACCAGTGTAGGTCGCTCGTACCGTCACCGCATATTTCGCCAAAAGGGCAGCGTTAGGTTCGCCAGAGCAGGGGCAGTCTGAAGTATTAATAAATCCAACATTGACAAAGACCGCCAAAACACCTGGCTGATGGCCAAATATAAAAAAATGTGCCTACGCATACGACACGGAACAATTACGGTGACGTCCCCATAATATCCCAGTCTGTGAGCGCTTAACGCTAGACACACCGAAATAAACGGAGAGTGAAAGTTAGAATAGATTCAAGATTCTATAAACATGGATTCGTATTTTGCGCTAAATATAATTTCGTTTAAAACCGTTTATAATTTATATGTACATTGTTTAACAATGTTTAGTATTGCTACACGAATATCAAATTAATTATTTTGAAGCTTAAATTAAAAAAAACATATTTTCATCACAACTAACTGACTTCTAAACAAACAGTTCAGAAAAAATATCTTTTAAAGAGAGATTTATGCTGACAATTAAATTTAACAAGTCTGAAAATCCGCTATGATATTGCGTAAGAAACACACAAAATACTGTCGACTTGGGAAACTCGTCTTCTTTGAAGTCGATTGATTAAATAAGAGTATTTGTTAGTGTCATATTATAATGTAACATATGTTATAAATTAAATTTAAATATTATTAATATTCAGTTACATATATTTAGTGCATGCTAGAATACTCATATAGCAGTGAAAGTTATCTGTAATCTGTATTTTTTTACCAGTTTAGTAGGAAGTTTCTTAGGTAGACGATGTTTTATCTTTCACAAAGAATAAGCAAGCATGATCTGAGATTGTGCAGGCAAATTCTTATGGCGAGAATATGAGTACATGTGCTTCCTGCGGGATAGGAGATAGACACTTTAAAATATTCTCGTTTAGGGATACGAGTGGATAGATTTCATTAAAAGTTCCCACATTTAACTATTACTTGGGAGTTAGGCTAATTAGCATTTACGACATATTTAATTCAGAGAAAACAAAGTGGTCTTTTAAAATTAGCGACAGAAAACGTATCATAAAAAAACAGTACAAGGCTATTAGACATATGGAATTTTGCACAATAGTTCTTTATGCAATAATCCTTTGTTTTTTTTCTCTTAAAGAGCTTCATTAATTCAAGATTAATGGGAATTTATATGGGATCTTATCTTATATGGGATGGGATGGTATGGGATAGGAGCTTCGTTATTTTTGAAGTAAAAAATATGGAAATTTATATTTAACCTTTTGCTGGTAAGAATACTTAAAATCCCAAGAAATAAAATGGAAAGTTTCTGCGTATCAACAGATCATCTGTTGTAATAAAATTTTGGTAATATCCAGAAAGACATGGATTTATAAAAGAGGAATTTAAGAAAATATACGTTTGAAACCTCGAACAAAAGTTAGTAAAAAATACAATTTGTACGGTACTTTTTAATATAACAAAGTTTCCAGAAGCAAAAAAAATTGAAGTAAGACCAGTCATATTTCTAATGCTTATATTATTTATTTTTTAGTTATTAGGTGAACAAAAATCATATTATTAAAGTATCACGATTAGTGTCTGTCAGAATGGTAATCCGAATGACGTCACAGACGCGTCCCGGGCCTCTGCCTACGTACCGGCACTTCACGTATTTGTAAGAAAACTCTGTATTTATTTATAGGATGCCTCTATCTGGCTCCCGAGCACCGACAGTGGCATAATATTTACTTTTAAACGAGCGACACACGCACATTTATACACCCTTAATGCTATTATTATAAGGGTGAAAATAGACTGCTGACTTCCACCTGCTCAACGGGATTGTAAACCACCAATTACGTTCAGGTTTATGAGCGCTTAATAGGTATCGCAAAATGTCCCGATTATCGTGGTTTGTTTTACAAATTATACCACGGGTCGGCTAAATATGGTGTCATTGGATTTTATGGATAAATTGCAGTAGTAGGGTTAGTAATAATATAGTGCATATAAAAATACTTTTGACATATAACATAAGTTGTTTATCATATAATTATATTTTTTTATTACCTCGTACAGCATTTGACTGGTACCACTTACTACGATGAAGGAGGTTCCACATCCGCACTAGTCGAACATGTAGTAAGAAATGTTACAGATGTATATACATATGTTGCTGACGCTCCCCAGATTGTTGAATTATTATAAGCGCCTTCCTTGCCCAACTCACTACGAAATTCTTCTGAAAGTTACTGTAAAACGTCAAAAAAACTGAACAGAACTTCTTGTTGGCATTATAATGAGATGCATAGTATTGTCAAAGAGCAACCCTGAAGTTTACACTTACAGCACTTGTAAAAAAATTTTTAATACTTTCTTAGATTTACGCGAATATTTGACATTTTATATAAAACTATCTTTTATGATTATTTGGCGGATTTTTTTTGATTTTTGGTTCCCGACATTTCGAATGCTTTACAGCAATCATGGTCACGGGAGAGTCTGAAGTGTTAGATGTCTCGAAGGTATAGTTGTTACAGACAGATTTTTTGAAAAAAAAAACAAAAACTGCAATGTAAGAGTATACTAATATGTAAAACCTAAGAATTTGGTGTATGGTCATCTGAACGCGGACGGAGCCGCGGGCTATGCTAGTGTCTAATAATATCATATTATTTTTATATATTTTAAGTAACAATGTATTTGAAAAACTATATAACCCTTTATATAAGCCTTCTTGGAACTGGTATGCGCTTCTCTTTTAAATATTTTACATAGATAGATTAATGCGCATAAGTAGTACTCACGGGGCCAAAGTGAATCACATGAAATGCAAGTTTAAATATACTACATGACATCCAGTTATTGACTTGCGTAGGATCACAAAGTTATTTAACATGTAAGAAATTTTTAAAGCCAATTTCCAGCAACACATTACGAGTATATTCTATCTCTATTTTGTAAGCATTAAAATTATATAATTTGCAAGAAAATTATGTTACATACTTAATATTTTTTTCACGTGATGATTGCCGACTAATTACATATTATTAATGTATGTTTGTTTTTGGGCTTGTTCCAAAGTTTATGAGGTAGAATAGAATTCGTCTAATAGTATATTACGTATATATAATAAAACGTCTATTGTTAAATATTTACACTTCAACGCCTAGGCGTAACTTGTGTTTATTTTATTGTAAATCAACGGTAATTAGTATACATAATTGAAAATATGTAACCCTTTTAAGTAGGTGGTGAAATGAGTACCTATATAGTTTACTAAAATTATTCAAAATATATACATTACTATCGATCGAAGCTCCACTCGCGAAGTATTTATGGCTATTATAAAATGGCTTACATAATTTGGTTTGTTTTCTTTTGTTACTATGGTTCAATAACGTATCAAGATTTGTAAATATTGTAAAATATTATTATTATTTCAGAAGTTAATATACATGTAACTACACACTCTTGCGTTTACGGCCGCTACCTTCCGGTGACGCAAAAATTTAATAAAACTACATAGCACGCAATACGCGCTACAAATTGGAGTTCCCCAATTTTCGTTATCCCACGTAACGAAATATCGAAACGTCTTTTATTTCTTTAGAATAAGACTTTATATGTTATTTTTATGTTAATATTTCTAATATCTAAAACTACGTTATATATTCAAAAGAATAATCTAATTTAAACCTACTAATTTGCGTTTATTTGGTATTTATATAAATTGATAACTTGTTTATATAAAGATTTATCTTTAAATATTATTTTGTTATAAAGAGTTTGCAAAATTCAAAATATTGTCTAATAATAATTGGGCACGACAAGTTAGGTCACGCGATCGCTACAGGTTACAACTTTCATTCGTTTTCATATTTAACAATAAAAATTTAAAATAATAAAAGCCTCAAACACACTATCTTTCTAAGTTATTGTAGTTGCGACAAGGTTACTATGACATCGTTAACTAGATATAAATATTAGCAGTCTGTACATCACTTTTGATCCGTCACTCGGCCAGCTGCGTAGCGGTTTGCGTAGCATTGTTCTCTCGCATCACAGGGTGAGATCGCGGACGAAGGTTGCGCCCGTGACCGCGCCCGCCCGCCGTCGTGCCGCGGTAGCGCAGTATCGTGCCGCGCTCCCTGCTCCTCGGACCTCGACCCGTGGTACGGCAGACTTGGTACTCGCGACGATTGTGATGTGCCTCGTGAGCTGATGATGTGCAGAGTGTGGACTGTGCGGGAGTGTGCGAGTGACAAGCGTCGGTGGCCAATACGGCCATAGCCATGTGGACGCTCCTGATGCCATTATTGGCACTCCTCGCGTCAGGCGGCGGTGATTCTCTGTCGGCCAACAAGGAACTGCTTGAATGTGCTAGGTTCGTTGCCCATATTGTTCCATTACCGCATCTAGTATTGTTATACCAGATATTAACATGATATTCAAGGCTCGAAGACCCATGATTAATTTAGAGGTAAAAATTTGGCTAATGTCACAGGGACCTCGAATGAGCTACAAAAATAAAAGTCGACGTGATACAAGGCGTACGTTCATCGCAACTGTGTTAGAGTTACAATACCTACTAAATATGATTATATAAAATAAAAAAATCTCGTAGGTTCTAATACTTTCACAGTAGATACTTAGGAAGATCTACAAATAGGTAGGTATAAAAAGCGCTGTTTAGTAGGAAATTTAATGCAAACTAAGAACTTGATTCTTTTAGTCAATAAAAAATATTTATATATAATATCTGACATTCATTAAAATAAAGCACTTCCGGTATGGGTCTAGAAACTCTTTCTGATAATCTTTCAAAGACCTTTGCCTCGTTAGGCCTGCAAACTACTATAAGAACTATAATAAAAAACACTTTTTTAAACATAATCTATATATATATAGCAAAATGAAAATATAACATTTATAAACTTAAAGTATAAATATAATCAATAGTCATCCAAATACTTTTGCAAATAATTCTATTTTGCTCTGGCAAGAATTGGCTTTTTATCGAGTTTCGGTTGATCTTGTCGGGGAGACGAGTCGTTTGGCAATACTCGTTGTTGACATAAACATTTCACCGACTAGACGAGTTGGCCAGGTGCAACGATCCTATTAAATCAAAATCCTGGTGTAAACTACTTTCTTCCAGTAATATTTGCTTTAAAATTGGTCTATTGATTGCATTAGACCCATTTCTCGATGGTTTAATAGTATTAAAAGCTTATCTTATTGAATTTGTTTTACTTTAACGCCTAAGTCGTTAAGTTAATCCTGTATCAATTATTTAATATAACTGAAATGAAGAATCATGAATGCACACTAATATTTTATTATTTACTACTTATAAAATATTGTATAAAATTAAATATTTAACATTCAACTGTTTTAAATAATTTGATTTTTATATAAACTCGCCTTAATACTATTAATAAATGAAAAATTTCGATAATTGTGTTAATTTAAAGGATCTTATCAATATTGTGCATTATCAATAAAGTTTAAACAAAAAATATTAACTACAATAACCATTTCGTGATCATAATCGTTAATTGACTATAATCCAAGAAAAATAAACATATAAATAGAATGTGCGTATATTTTATAATGTCTAAATTTTTCGATTCTCACCACCATATTTACCCCACAAACAAATGAACTCTTTGACATCCTATCACAGAATACAGGGTGTTTTCAATAAACTTACGTATAACTGTCGTATCGCATGTATTTGTTATTAACTACTACGTCCATGGTTGCGAATTCGATTTCACATAGTGTTAATGTTATGTTTTTATATTAACACTAATATGTATTTATACTTGATTATATCAACTTATTAATAATAATTTATTGTTTCTAGTTAATACTACACTTACTGTACATTTACAGATTTTTTAAACTAATTTCTTTTCTTGGGCCATGTGAAAGCTTTTGTTATGTTATATCTATGTGTATGAAAAATTTTCCGTACCTTGTAAACACTTACTCGGTTAACATCCTTACTGGGTTAACATTGCTTAATTTGATAAAAAATTATCAATAAAAAAATAGGAAAAAAAAGATAAAAAGTGACTATTTAATTATTATATATTAATTCTTTATATATTTCAAAATATTTTACCTATGTAACATTTCAATGATTATCTTAAATAGATATTATTTTTTATAATAATACAATATATTTCTTATTTAGCCTTATAAATACATAGAACAATAAGCTACATATATATAAATATATATATATATATATATATATATATATATATATATATATATATATATATAATAACAGATAAACAATAAAGTAACAAAATAATTTCTTTGTAATTTATTCTTTAACTTTTCATTAATTTTATTAAATTATATTAAGTAAAAATTAAAATATTTTATCATAAACAATATGCAGTTTATATATGAGATGATGATATATATGAGAGCTTTCGATGACCGCGTCACTATGACGCAAGGTGCAACCAAACGTGATGACAAACTAATAGCAATCAAGAGAAACAAACAAATACTAAAACCTTGAACTTACGAGTATAACTACGAGCAGGAAGTAAACGATTTAAACTGGATTTAGTGAGCGAACGCACTTTGTTACAGCCGTAAATATGACTTTATTATTGACAAATATTAGTTGTAGTCGTAAGTTATTGTTCACTGTTGTAAGTGCCTTTGTGTTCGATTGCTATGCGTTACTGGGATCAAGTGTTTGATGTCCACACAAAATAATAACGAGATCAATTTATTTGGGGAACGAGACTGTTACTCCTTAATACAGATTATATTTATAACCTAGCAAGGAGTACAGTACTTCACCCAACCGTATGAACTTGATTTGAACAAGCCTTTACTGTAAAAATTACTATGTTCTATGTTTTTATATGAAACTGAAACGTTTGTTCGTTTGTTTTAACCGCGCCAATCGCTGGAACTTCGAACAATTTGAAAAAATCCATTTGTATTTTATAGCTTTACTTAGGAAGATCTATATATGTATCTAATAAATCCTTAGTTCGACCCATAACTACGGCTTTTTTCTTCGCCCGAACTTACCTTTTTCTACATGGCAACCTTGCCGGTAAGCAATCAGGAATCATTCACTTAGATGGAACTTATGTACATAATATCTGAATTTATAAAATTAACGATTTGTATGTGCAAAGTATTTGAGATGACAATTATAAGTAAAAAATATATTTTAACAATCCTTTATACCGTTTTCTGTAGAATCTATTGGCCCATAGTGTCAAATTGTTAAACACTTCTTACAAGATATAACAGCTCGTCATATCGACTCTACTGGACAGGAGAGCCGGCTCATTTTTCGCCTGAAGAATCGGCATTGCCATTTTTCCATTCATTGTCATTCATTCGGGGGAATGATTGTACTGTAATAATTAGGTGTATATTCGTTTTGTGCATATATATACCTATATATAATTATATATAATTGTAATTTTCGTTATTGTATCTAAAAACTATAATATAGTAAATAAAAACTACCAATCAGTTACTTTTTTATTATTTAGTCTTTTTTTAAATCAGCTTTTTTGTAATAGCAAAGCAGATACGTTGTTTCTTTTGTCAGCTTAATACTACATATAGTGAATTAATTTATTCATATCAGAATTAAATAACGCGTCGCTATGATGGGTGATGTTGCATATACTCAGATTAAAATTATACGCCATATAATAGTTTCGTAAATTCTTTTGTACATTTTGATCTTAAAATTGTTGATGATAAATCTTGTTTAATTAACTACCGCGTATGAATTCGCAGTGCACGGGAAAATCATACATGGTTTTTGTTGCGCTGTTAGTGTTTACATTATTGTTTAAAAAAAATGTGATAAAATTTTAAATAAAAAAAAATAGACATACTCGTACTTGATTCATTATAAGAATGCATTTATTTTAGCTATTTCAATATAATCAAAGTGGATTTTATAAATGTGAATTAGATTCTTACAATATCACGGGTCAATTTTAGGTATATTATAATTCCACTAAACACATTCTGTGATATTACATATAATTTATATTGTTTAGTTAGATTGTCAATAGTGCCAATACTTGGACATGGTGATTGGTGGGAAACCTCGATGCGCTCTGATTGTTCGATTCACTGATGGGACATTTCTAAAATCAAGAAGTAACAACGTAAACAATGGAGCATGCTCGCAAATATATTTGCTTATTGTAATTTTATTGAGAATACTAGCGACTCACCCTCGCTCCGCTCGGGTTCGTCCCTGGGGTGGGGTCTGGGAGGACCACCCTTATCCTTATCACTTAGGGGTATGAAAAATAGATAGTAGCCGATTCTCAGACCTACTGAATACGCATATAAAATTTGGTAAAAATCGGTAAAGCCGTTTCGGAGGAGTACGGTAACAAACATTGTGACATGGAAATTTTATATATAAGACTAGCATTGCCCGCGGCTCCGCCCGCGTTCAGATGACCAAAAACTAAATTCTTAGGTGTTACATATTAGTATACTCTTACATTGCAGTTTTTGTATTTTTCCTCAGAAATAAGATATTTTCCCGCGGTAAAAAGTATCCTAGGATCGCGCGCTACATCGCCCGGTTTATATAGCTTGAGCAGGCGGTCGAGCGATGCGGGGCAGAGGGGATGGACTCGCCGTAGGCATCTCAATGCTCGCCAAGCATTAAAAATGTTTCGCTACTAATTACTTCTAACAACGATATCTCAAAAACTATTCATCTGATTGATTTAGTGTAAAGAGCAATTTTAATCTGCATTAAATGACTAAGCTAACTAAAATATTCATTTGGATAAGGATTAATACCGAACTAAAGAAAATAACTTTGAAAATAACGTAATGTTTTTAATTAAAAATGTTAACATAAAAGTGGTTATTGTAAGTCAACCGTAAGAGATAGAGATATGCTATCGCGGACTTTTTTGTAGCATTTTTATAGATTTTGAATTCTCTAGTACATTACTTAACTGTATCTTTGCTAGTTTACGCGGCGTTCGCGTGGAAAGTTCCCATTTGGCGAGATTTTTTGCGACCTCTTCAACATTTGTCGCCGTATTTCAGCTAATTTACATAAAAGCATAATAAATTATATACCTAAACCTTCCTCAAGAATTACTCTTTCTATTGTTGAAAACCGTATAAAAATCCGTTCAGTAGTTTTCGAGTTTATCGCGTACAGACAGACAGGAGGACAGACAGGAGGACAGAAAGACGCGGCCGGGGGACTTATTTTTATAATAAGTATAGATATTGTGAAGTGTCGAGGCATTAAATACTTTCTAGACTGTAGGCATTAGATAGTAAGGTAGAATCGAATGTTCTAAAAGATCTCGATATAAGTATCCATATCAAACGGTA